AGCAGCTTTCTTGGTGTGTGGCCCTCACCCTCACCCCAAGAGCTTCAGGCACACAGGTAATGAATACATTCAGGGATCCTCAGGCTGCAGGTAGTGGAGCAGCACTCAAAAAGCCCAACTAGCCCACTCTGGGGAGCATGTCTGGACTCCACAGCAGTTTAACTAGTCAGCTAGCCATGTATTTTACTGAAAATTATCTCCATTTCCACATTAAATCCCGGAGAAATGCAAGCAGAGGTGTGAGGCAGGCTTGTCTTCTTCAACCATCTCATGCAGTTTCAGGCAGGCACTGAGACAGAACCAACATAAGGAAGGGCAGTCCAGCCTGGTACCAGGCATCTTCCTAGGCAAATGATAATTCTGCATTTTTTCCGAGTTGGGAGTGACCTGTCTGGCTCAGACTCCTCCCTCTGCCAGATGCTTTGGAGATGGAGATGAGGTGGATTAGCCCCAGTGGGACTAAGGAATAATCCCATATAGCAGGACCACACCATACTCTCTCAGTGCCTGACAGCGGTTTGCTCTCTCTTCTCATGCACAATGGGATGCTCTCTCCTCCTGTAATACTTTTACCTGTTACCAACCTGGATGTTCTCATGGCTCAGATGTGTGCACAGTCTGTCTTCAAACCTCACTGTTTTCTTGTACTCTCTGACTTCCTCTGGCAATCAGTCCTTGTCTCTGCTTATTCACTGTTTGAAAATGGTTCCCCTTTATCAGTGTTGAATTCAAAGTTTTCCACTTTCATCATCTGTTTTCTTTTCTCCCATCACAAAGGCTGGAAGAAGAAGGACTCCCAATCTGTTGTCTCTCGGACGCTCATTATTCTACATCCTTTTATCACATCCTTTTTTTCTTATTTCCCCATCCCCTTCTGACTCATTGGCCCAAATCCCAGATTTTGGGGGCTGTCTCCCTGACAGTTAGCTCAGGCTTATCTCTATGCATGGTCAACTCTCCTTGGCTCCTTTTCTCTGGAAGAGGAGGCAGCAGCCCGGTGGAGGAGCAGCACTGGCTTACATGGAGGCATGGTGCCTTTCTCTACATTACTTCCATCCTTCCCTTCACGGCTCCCGACGTCTTGTCTGCTCCTCTGACTGTCATTCTCCACTAAACAGCACCAAGCTTGTACCGAGCTGTTCACTGTGTCCTCAGTGGAATGCCTGTTGTGATGCCCCGGGCTCTTGCCTGACCTGGTACAGCTTCAGTAAGCCAAAGCCTAGAAGGGTTTATGCAGTTTACATTTTCCCTCCAGCTACGTGACGTGACGCTGAATTTCATTTGCCTTCCTGTTGCTGATGAGCACAACTTTCTTATGTGTCTCCAAAGCTCTTGTCACTCTCTCGTCTCCTGGCAAATGTAAATAGCTTCATGTCATTTATATACTTGACCTTCTTGCTGCTTACCTCCTTGAACACTGGTAACTCATGTCTTAATTCAGGTACTTTTGGGCCTCACTGCTGCTTCTGGTGACAACTGGCAGTTTAATCCTCCTCCTCCTCCTCTTTGCTTCCCACCCTGGGGCCAGGCTCAGGCACACAGCAGAGCTGTCCCACTCGCCCCCATGCTGGGTCAATCCATCCATTGCCCTGGTTAGCCCTGCAACTCCAAGGCGATGAGGAGGAAGTACAAGCTGTTCAAAGATGCAAAATGCACTGGATTATTTCCTGTAACACAGGTACTCTTGCTTCATGACTCTTCACCAAGAACTGATGATACCTGGAGCCAGTGTGACCAGCATTCATGCAATTATGTATGGATACACTGCAACACCTGGGTATGCAGTAGGCACCTCCACAATCATTGTGATACCTGTATCAGGTCCTGAAACTACTTTCTTTGTAACAGAGAGGACAATGTTGGCTCAAGGTGGTGCCACTACAAAGGCTACAAGGCCTCAAACATGGTTGTATATAAATACAAATTCCACCAGCTCTGGGGCACTGAGAATGGTGTCTGAAGCTTCACTGATGTTCAGTCTTGCTTTTGCAACCAGCAGATGAGCATTGTTGATGAAATACAGGCACTAACAAAAGTGACAAGCGTGGTCATTGAGCTGTTTGGTTTGACAGACCTCAAGGAAAAATGCTCAGAAGCCACCTGCCACCAATGCAGAAATAACTGCTTATGGTCACAGAAGCTCTACCTCCCAAATGCTGCAGGGTAAAGAATGGATCAGTACAACAGTAGGAAGTGGAAAAATCTTTCTGAACACTGAGGGAATCCAGGTGGCACAAGGCAGATCAGTAGAACTCAAGTGGAAGGACCCAGAGTCTGTACAATAAAGCAAACAAATCTGTAAATCTGTCCCAGGTGGAGCAATAAGCAGGAGCAGCAATAAAGCAAATGTCATACGAAAGAAAGAGACTTGATGCTTTTCCACAAGGGTACAGCTACAGGTGCAAAAGTCAGATAAATATTTCCAGTGTACCAGGAGCACAAAGACTGAGAAAAACACAGGAAATCCAGTGGGTTCCCTTTTGGCAGAGGGGACAGGTAAAGGAAGGCAAAGAAAATACTATGCAACCAAATTCCTTTACACCTTCCAAAAGGAGTGGGAAGAGGATCTTTAATCCCAAATTAATATTTTTTGATAACAAAGACCAGCACCATCTGAAAAAAAAATCATGACTATGTCCAGATGTTCTGCATCCAAGACTTATGAGGGATTTCAAGCGAGAGGCTAAATAAGTGCTAGTGAATAGTGTGATCTGACAAAGAAACAACTAGAAATATCACATCTTGGGGGTCTTGGTACATTCTGCACAGCCTTTTAAAATAATTAAAAATTAGAACCAGAGCTTGAATGATCTAGGACACTAAGGCACACTGAGTTTTATATCTGCTTGGCAAATTGGTGGGAACAATAACAGCACCACTTCCACAAAAAAACCCTGCCCCATGCCTCACTACTCTGCTTGGATTTCTTCAACACTTTGGTGCAGCAGTGAATAAAACCAAAATATCTAGGATCACTCGTTTTACTTTCCAAAGGTTCCCTCAAACCGAGCTCCTTACAGGAACGCTGCTATTGTACCTACTGCATCTTGTGCCACCCACCAACACTCGAAGCATCTTGGACAGTGGTTACACAGTTGTTGACTTTATCATCCTCAAGAGATCCTGCTTCTAGGTTTCCGTCTTTCTGGCCTGCTGGTTTGATGCAACTCGCTCCAGTTCTCAAAAGCTGTCACGCCATGGTACCTCTGAGATGGGTTTTGGTCCCACCTGAAGGGATGGGTTTCACCGAGGGTCTTACAGTGACAGGGCATAGAATGCTCTCTGTGCCTAGGAAAAATGGAGGAGGTGATGCTCAAGGGCAGCTTTTGGAAGGACTTGTTCTTTCTTGTTAACTTGAGGTTTCTTATGTTCTTCTTTTACAAACACTGGGTGTCTTCCTCTCCCATCACCAGGTCGACATTCCCCTTTTCTCATGGAAGACAACACAGGTGTTTGGAGAGAGGAGGAGGCACCAGCAGACTCCCTAGCATGCTCTGGGGGCTGTCAGGAGCTCGGCTGGTACCCTCCACTCAGGCGCTCCCTGGGCCTTTGAAATATCACGCCTGGGTGAGCACAGGTGTCCAGGGCCCCCCAAGGATCCCCCTGCTTGGCCCCAGCCCTCCTGTGGCCCCGAAGCCCCATACACCCACTGGAGCCTTGGACCTCCATCCGAGGCACATTTTGGCCAAAATGTAATGTTTTCAGTGCTCTGAAGA